GGTGTTTGAACCCCCCAGTGTTTGAACTCCCAGGATATTGAGGACGGGGAGAACTGATCCCAGGATTTGGGGTGTTTGACCCCAATGTTTGACCCCCGGGTTTGGGGTCGGGGTTGAGATCGGAGCCATTCTCTGGAAAGAGCGGCGGGATCAGGATTTGGAACAGGAATGGGAACGGGATTCGGGAAGGGAAGAGATCCTGACCCAATGCCGGACCCCAATCCCAGGGAGAGACCCCGCCGCAGTCCCGGAATGGCCCCATCCCCACAATCGCGGACCCCTCCCCAGGCCCAGCCCCTCCCCAGCCGCTGAACGGAGCCTCCCTCAATCCCAGCCCGCCCCAGTCCGGAGCGGAGCCATCCCCGGAGCCTCCCCCATTCCCGGCCCGGACCCTTCAATCCCTTTTTGGGGCGGCTCCTGCCGCTTCCAGCCCATTGCTGGGGGTTCCGAAGGGCTCCGGGGACCCTCCCGATTGCGGGGGTGTTGGGGGGCCCCAGGGCCGCCCCGAGGCCCGAGCGGGGATCGAAAGCCCCAAAGCCGAGGGGCTCCTGGGGGTGCCCAGTTCCTGCCGTCCCCAGCCCAAAACAGATGCTGGCCAATCAGAGCGCGCGGCGCTGGTGACGATCCAGCTCCCGGGCGGGAACTCGGCGCACTGGCCCCGCCCGGCGATTTCCAGCCAATCAGCGCCCGGCGCGGCTGTGACTCCTCAGTTGCCGGGCAGACCCGCAGCGCCCGTACGGCCTCTCTCCAGTGTGGATTCTCTGGTGATTGATCAGATCAGAGCTCCACCTGAAGCCCTTCCCACACTCCCCACACTTGTAGGGTCTCACCCCTGTGTGGATCCCCTGGTGCTTGATCAGTCTGGAGCTGCAGATGAAGCTCTTCCCACACTGCCCACACTCGTAGGGCCTCTCCCCAGTGTGGATCCTCTGGTGCTTGCTCAGGCTGGAGCTGTAGCTGAAGCTCTTCCCACACTCCCCACACTCGTAGGGCCTCTCCCCAGTGTGGATCCTCTGGTGACTGCGCAGGCTGGAGCTGTACCTGAAGCTCTTCCCACACTGCGCACACTCGTAGGGTTCTTCCCACACTCCACGCAGGTGTGGGGCTTCTCCCCATCATGGAGCTGCTCCTGGAGCCCCAGCTCCGAGCTCTGGCTCCATCTCCGGCCGCCTTCCCGGCCCAGGCTGGCTCTTTCCCCCTCAGATCCCCGCCATCTGCGTTTGCAGCCCCTCCTCGTGCGGCATCTCCGGGGCTTCTCCTCCCCGCTGGGTTCCTGCGCCGTGGAGCCGCTCCAAACGGCCTCTGCCACCAGGTTCTGCCGCGGGGATTTGTCCTCCCTGCTCTCCGTGCTCAGCTCCTGCTCTGGGGGAGGAAGGACAAGGACAGGATGGGATGCACAGGCAGCAGGGCTGTGCTGCAGCCGGGGCCGTGCTGGGCTGGGAGATGGAGCAGCACAGAGGGGAAAGGGGCACTGACTTCCTCCTCACCTGCCTCAGCGTCTCGGGGCATC